TTTTATTAAATAGAAAAACTTTATTTTTAATGTCAAGAATATAGGAGTTGGTTTTAATACTATATTTTGTAGAGGATAAGGCTTTAAGTGCGCTTAGAGAGTCAGTAAAAAAGACTGAGGGTTTGGTTTTTTAAAGAGAATTCGATGAACAGATCGTTGGGGGAGTCAGAATTTTCAAGTATTTTCCCAAAGATTGAGTTAAAATCAGTTGATGTAAAGTGTGTTTGGTAATCATGTTCATACAAGCAAGGATTGTTAAAACTAAGAATGTTGTTTGAAATCCTGTCAATTTTTTTGGTACAGATTTGTAGAACTTCACTTGAAAAAGAGTTGTTTTTCTGCAAAACATTTTTTTGACATTTTAATGAGGCAAGGGTAAGCGAGGACTGACATGAATAAGATTTTGTTATAAAACGACAGCCTTACTGGATAGAGCAATCCATAATACTTGTTAAAGAAGATTCAGCTAGTAAAATATTAGTCGGGGTGGTTATGCGATAGCCAAGAGCTATACGAATAGCTTGATACTGAATTTTTTTCATTTTATTAATTATAGTAAGGGATGTATTAAGATCAATAATACTGCCGCAGTCGATAATAGGTCTGATAAAACTTTTGTACAGAGTTAGGAGTGTCTGTGGGTCTGAGCCCCACCAATTTCCACAGAGATATTATAAAATGTTCATAGCTTTAAAGCACTTTTTTTGAACGTTTTCAATATGTGAAAGAAAGGTAAGTCTGTAATCTAGAGTAATACCCAAAAATCGAACTGAAGAGCTGGAGGGGATTGAAATATTTCCTATTCTGATATGCGTGTTTCCAGGAGTTATCATTTTTCTGTTGAAGTGAAGGAACCCAGTCTTGGGTAGAGAGATTTGCAACCCAATTTTACGTAAGTTATTTTTTATTCTTTCAACATTAGTCAATATTTAGATGAAACGGTACACACATGCACGCAGACACACACATACGCACTATCGTAAATAATACCATTACACTGCAATTCCATAGGTTTCGCTTATAACATCAGAGCAAAAATATCAAATTCCTTATGCGACGTCGAAATGATGATTTGCTTTTGGCAGTAACCCATAACAGTAGAAAGTGTAAAAGTGACAGCCATTTTATATTTTGGTAAGAAAGAGTAAAAGTTTAAGATTTAATTAAGAATTAAGATAAAAGTTTAAGTTAAAGCTTAATATATAATATTTATGCCTTGAAAATATTTATATTACATCTATAAGCTCTTCTGATAACTTATTATTGTTGTTGAAGCCACCTATATTAAATTAAATGTGATAATATGAAGCTCAGTATTCTCAAAAAAACATGTCGGAAATAATGTAAGTATTTTAGTATCCTTAAGAATTCATTCTAGAAGAAAACGGGATCCTAATAATTTTGTGTACAAAGACGTGGGACATTATACAAATTTAGGAAAATTATCGGTGACACATACCTAGAACAAATAGTCATTTAAACAATGGAGATTCAAACTTTCTTTTTTTTTATCAAATTGAGCTTACCACTTGTTACTCAATTAATAAAACCTTTAAAAGAGTTTTTCCACGTAAACGTTATTCTTTTGAATTTGTAATTGGTGTTATTGTTGGAAATTGGTACGATGTATTAACATAGTATACACGTCATGTAATCGTAACCATAAATATGGACCTACGATTTTTGCATTACATTTTTATTTGTTTGTGACTTTCTTGTATCGAAGCAGCAACACCAAAAGTTTATCGATTAATTTCGATGAAACATTCAAGTATATAAATCGCTTGCTTGACGTCTTATCGCGATGATAATGTTCTTTGTTATAAATGCTTTTATTCTAGAAAAAAAATCTTATCTTTCTAGAAATACCACTGTTTTAATTAAAGAGCTACAACTGTATGGCAGTTGATCAATTCAAAAAATGATGACGGAATTGCTAGCCACCAAAATGTTATAACTATACTATGAAATATATGTAGAATTTTTGTTTTTCATCACTTATTGTGCTACTCTGACAGAAGCCTGTATTATTGAAAAATAATTAATAAGGATGCTTTAATGTCGCCAAACTGGTGGAGGAAGTATCATAAAATGTACAACCGTATTGATTTATTTCCATACGTCTTGATATTTACTTTGATGCACGTAAAATTAGTACAAGTTACCGCTTCCTTGTACAGCATAGCTCAAGCTTGTTTTTTTTTTTTCAATTTATTAAGCCGTTAAGACGGAAGTCTAATAGGCCAAAAAATACAAGATTTATACAATATACAAAATTATTAATTTAATTCACACATCTTAAACGTAAGAATCATACACGATTTTGCTATACAAGAAAACACATTAGTTGAGTGAGTAGCACTTGGCTCAATATTGGCATAACAAGTATTAAAAAAGGAAGACACGCACAGACAGGCATCTCTTTTAGGTTCCGTTACATTGCTTTCGATGTTCAGTTGTGGATAGAGTTTTGTTATTCTGAGTTTGCGGATCATTTCCTTCTTTGGTGTATCGTATAGAGGGCAGTTCCATAGAATGTGGTTTTTAATCCTCTTGTTCAGCTCCGCAACCGCACTTGGCATCATTCAGGATGTTTACTATAGTGAGTGAGGCAGCTAAGTTATAGTGGTTGCAACGTATGCGATTTATGGTAACTGTTATTTTTTTACTAAGATTGAGATTATAAGACCATTTATTCCTCTTTTCAAAGTTTTTTTCAAAGTAGTATTTGTCAGTAGTAAGGGGAGGGCTGGAGATCGTATTGAAAGTATTTAGCCTGGCTCCTTTCTTAAAGAATTCGAAAAAGTCTGAAAAGGGGATCTGAGGATGAATCACATTTTTAGATAGACCAGCTGATTTGGCAGCTGAGTCAGCCTGTTCATTATCAGAAATACCGATATGAGACGGAATTCAGAAGAATTTGATTCGGCAACCGTTTGAATTTTTATTAAAGAGAAAAACTTGATTTTCAATGTCACGAATATACGGGATGGTTTTATTACTATATTTTGTAGAGGATAAGGCTTCAAGTGCGCTTAGAGAGTCAGTAAAAAAGGTAATGTTCCTATGTAAGTGGTCGAGAGCGATGTCTAGGGCGTCCTTAGCAATACATTCAGCAGTGAAAACTGAGGTTTGCGGGTGGAGTTTCCAACTGGTTTGTAGGTTGAGACTTGGGCAGATACAGGCTGAACCAACGTTCGTTTTAGACTTACTACCGTCAGAAAAAATTTTGAGGGTTTGGTTTTTTGAAAAGAATTCGATGAACAGGTCGTTGGGGGAGTCAGAATTTTCAAGTATTTTTCCAAAGCTTGAGTTAAAATCAATTGATGTAAGAAGTGTTTGGTAATCATGTTCATACAAGCAAGGATTGTTAAAANTTTAATTTAAGGAACTTTGAAGAGGATATTTTTTTATGGAATAGCCATCAGTAATATGGGTTATTTCCTCATGTCTAAGTAAATACGTCTACAGGAAATTGAAAATGTATTTTTCATTCGAACGACTGTTGAATAACGATTGAAAGTTAATTATTTAAAAAACAGGGGCCTTTCTGTTATAAAACATGATATGTGTATTTTTTCCACGTTTTTGCCTACATGCACGCCAAGTCTGTACTTTTTTAAACAAAGTATACTCACAAGCAAATACAATTTTCGATAATTTAGCGTAATACTCACATACGGCTATAATTATTGCGCGAAAGCCTATGATACACTGCAAACAGATACACGAAGTAAGTAACGGTCTTTTGGTGAAAAGTAGTAATTTAAGTCGTGCAGAAACGTCATTGCATTACGAGTGCACGTAATGACGTCGTTAGATAAAAATTTTCAGAATTTTTGATATTTAATGTTAAACATGTACTTTCCGTATCATTCAACCAATAATGAACGATAATCAAGTATTGAAAAAAGTTGTGGTTTCCCGTAGCACCTTATAATTATATGATTATAATGATAAGCAACAGCGATGGAATACTTTCGCAAAGTCACTATTTATTTTTCGTCACAATTTTACGTCAACCAATGATAGTTTTAAACGAGTTTAATAAACATTGCATGCTTTTCCTCTCTGACATTTTCATTATGTAATTTAAATTTTTTCAAATTTCTTCTTAGCTAATTAAATGAGTGTATTTGAGAAGCATGACAATCTTTCAATAGTCACATTAACACAATGTCCTTTTATTTTGGTTTGTTATTTATGTAAAAATATTTTGAAAACTGTTTTAGATGTGTGAGAAAATTTAATCAATTAAAGTTTTTATAAAATTTACAGAAATATTTTAAACAAACACTTTATTAGAAAAATTATTTGTACCCTTAAATAATGTATTAAGCTTTGTCTTTAAAACATATTTTTTTTTTTTTTTTTTACTAACGACTGAAAAAACGCGGATTTTTTACACTTAAAATTTTGCTGTTTCATATAGCTTGAACACCTCTCTTACGTTATGAGCTAATTACATTGTGCTGAAAAAGAGAGATGAGACGAAAAATATAATTTGAAAAATCAAGCATTGGTATTTCTATGTTGAGTAATTAGTACATTTTTTATTCATCCCATATCTAAAAAAATGTTTAAATCAAACTGTCCATAGTAGAAGGAACTGTACAATTTTATGCAAGATTATCCAGCGGTTTTTGTTCATTTTTCTGTAATTTTTTCCACGAAACTTTGAGAAACAACTTTCGCAATACTAACGAAATACCAAGTTTAAAACGTAATCGTAAGATTTTGGTTTCCATTTACAGTGCAGATACAACGATAGATGAAAAAAAAAGAGAAAAAAAACATTTCTTCAAAACCATAACCAGCACGAAAATTTAAAAAAAATGCAACAAGACATCTCTGGAAACCTTTATTTTTATTTGTCTCGAAAACAACTAAAAAATCCTCAAGAAAAAGTCATTTTCCACCATTAAAATATTTTGATTTCGTCCACGTAAAACCCATACGATTTGGAAAAAAAACCCCGCAATTTCCTGCGTTAAACTGACCATTCTTCCACCTGGGCACGGTAACGAAGAGCTTGTCCCTCCAGATCTCGACACCAACTGGCAAAGCATTTTCCGGCTGAAAATCCCCACTGGCCAGCGCCTGTTGTCTACTGATCTCACTCGGGTAGTTCCAGTCGAGTATCCTCCAAGCGAACCTCTCGAGCAGAGGCGCCCTGCCAAACCTCGCCCCGTACCCCCTTGGACCGATGGCCCCTTCGGCCAACCCCGCGAGCAGCAACAGCGACAAAAACAACAGCCCACAGTAGCACTTGTGCACACTTACTCGTGTCATTTTGAAACAAATGACAATAACACAAACAGGAGGTGTATACAAGGACGCACCCGACGACGACTCCGGCGTCCAAGGAGGCTCAGACTGCACTCGGTCCCGTTAATCGGGCTTTCCTATATATATGCACTAACGCGCGTGTCCGCCTGTATATCGCGAAATTGATCCCCCCTTCGCTGCGCGTACTTATATACGCGCTCCTTCCTACTTAGGCCCCCCCGTGGCGGTGGCACTCGCGGTCCTGGGCGTTCGCGCGTCGTCGCCCACGTGCACGTTCACTCCCTCTCCTCGTACTCTGCTTTCTGGACATTTTTTTTTTATTTCTCTATTTTTCGAAATCATTTTATGCTCCCGAGGGTTGTAAATTTCTTCAGCTCAGGGCGTAAATGGTGGATTTTTCCTTTTTTTCTTTTCGCAAAATAATCCTCGAATTGTACATTACAAAATTGTATTGATCAACTAGAGCAATTGTGATTATGGAAGTTCTCACGACAGTATACAATTCCGCGATGGATGATTGTGAGTTAATTGCCTTACGAGTATTGGCTAGGAATTTTACAAAAAAAAATAAATAATTGTACCTCGTTGATAATGGGAAACACGTCATAATTTATGTTGCTAGTCATAATTGATTTGATAATTTTCAACAGCATCAAATCGACATTCATTTCACTCTGAAATAATAATCCTCATTTTTAGATGCGATCTCACGCATTAATGAACTTGAAATCCTCTGTTTGTTTTTTTTCAACTGCTCCACCTCTGATAAACCAATCACCAATAATTCTTTCCTTTGCCATAAAATTTAGTTTATTGTTTCTTAATCAATCATTTGGGCATAGTCACCAAATTGACTATCAATGGGATGAGACAAAAATTTTTTTTTCAAATCATTTGCGCTCATATTCCTCCCCTCCCCTTCTATATTCCTATAAGATCTCACCTTACTCTTGTACAGTCAGACTGAGGACGAGTTTAGTGCAAATTGTAAAAAGTACAACCTCATGCTTCTCGTGACTACATTTTATTTCTACTGTTGTAAGCCCACAGTGTACAAAATTATGAAACCGGAGTCGGAAGTTTCCATGCACTTCCGGTATTTGGAGGAATTTTACAAATTAGTAATCGTAACCAGAAATGTATACCTACTACCAGAAAATTAGCTACAGAATGCTAAACTATATCTGATTCAGCTACGAAAAAAACAGAACTACTCCTCTGTGCCAGAGCTAAATTATGTCAAAAATTTTCGGGACGGCTGTTTAATAGCTTAACAAGAGCATGACATAATTTTAAAAAAATCCTTGATGACTTAACTATATAGACTTTTCGTTTAATTATTTTTTGAGTTTCAGTAGTGTATGAAATTCAGTAGCGCAAATGGTCTTGCATAAAAAATCGTCAATCCCAGATGCACACGTACTGTGGCCTTCGTATCTGAGTAACAGCAACAGTATGTACTTGTTGAGATATTCACTAGTATATGGTTTATTCGAGACTGTACCAGGTAACGGGGGAGTCTGTGAACAAAAATACCCGTAATTTTTTCATTACAGCAGTTATTTTTTATTTGTGACTTTCTTGTATCGAAGCAGCGACACCAAAAGTTTATCGATTAATTTCGATGATACATTCAAGTATATAAATCGCTTGCTCGACGTCTTATCGCGATGATAATGTTCTTTGTTATAAATGCTTTCATTCTAGAAAAAAAACCTTATCTTTCTAGAAATACTACTGTTTTAATTAAAGAGCTACAACTGTATGGCAGTTGATCAATTCAAAAAAAATGATGACGGAATTGCTAGCCACCAAAATGTTATAACTATACTATGAAATAAGTGTAGAATTTTTTTTTTTATAACTTATTGTGCTACTCTGACAGAAGCCTGTATTATTGAAAAATAATTAAGAAGGATGCTTTAATATTGCCAAACTAATGCTGGAATTATTATAAAATGTACAACCGTATTGATTTATTTCCATATGTCTTGATATTTACTTTGATGCATGTAAAATTTGTACAAGTTACCGCTACCTCATACAGCAAAGCCAAAGCTTATAATTTGCTAGCTCAAGCTATTTGTGACCACATTTTTGCTTATTGCGAAAGAAAAATTAAATTTCCGCATAATAAAAGCAGTGGTTGAATGTAATTTTTTCATTTGGCACATTCGAAGATTATCGCTTGTAGCTTACATCTTCTATTCCCAAATATTGAAGAAGTTTTTTACGATTACCCACTCAGTAAAAAATCTCACGACTTAATTTTCATACTATAGAATATCGCTCAACATTAGTCAATATTTAGATGAAACGGTACACTTACGCACGCAGACACACACATACACACAATCGTAAATAATACCATTACACTGCAATTCCATAGGTTTCGTGTATAAAATGAGAGCAAAAATACCAAATTCCTTATGCGACGTCGAAATGGTGACTTGTTTTTGGCAGTAGAAAACTGCTGAATGAAAATTTACACAGGATGCAAATTGTAAAAAGATAGTAGTTTTCCCACATATTGTGTCCTTTTCTTTAATTATATATAAAGTACAAAACTATAGGCTTTTCCATCCTCTCATGTTATGTTACTAAAAATAACAATGCTTTCACGTCCGCGTCAAAGTCATCTTGTAGATAATTCAAAAAAAAGATGTTTCATCTTGAGGTAAATTGAAAGACTCATTAAAATGATATTAACGACGTCTTTCGAAACATATACTGTATAAATAGGCGGCACAATCTGATACTCTATTACTTTAGTGGTTGAGCTCGAATAGTGGGTAAGTTTCAAAATACGATTCACTTTATTTAGTGAACAACTGATTGAAATAACATTAAATTTAAGATAGTTCTATAATAAAATGGTAAAAATGTTTTTTTGTTTTTGTTGTAAAATAATCTATGGCAGAAATAAATGGATGTTGAATCCTTTTATAGCATTAATTTTGTTAACTCTATTTATAAGATATTTTTCATCATCATTCAGAATGTATGTAATAATACTTTCAAACAACATTTATTCATTGAAGTACTTTGACACGAAAGCGCCCGAATCCTTAAGCAAATAACTAAAACTTTTTATCTTTTATCCAACAGCATCTGTATTCGTACAATCTGTGTAAAATCGAAGCAATCTATTAAAAATGAGTGGTTTTAATCCCAATTGCAAGTTTTGCGATACATCACATATGGACCAATACTTGATGGACAAGCATATGTCATATCAACACCCAAATATAACGCAGAAAATGAGGGAATTGGTGAAATATGATAGGTATTGCGTAGAATGCCGTATGGAGTTCGATACCAATAAAAAACTAGCCGCGCATGTCCAAGAAATTCATGTAGAATAGAAAGCATCAGACACTCGGATTATTTAAATATTTTCAAAATGAATCTTACTTACGAATTACAAAATTGTACGTTTTAATAAACAGAACTTACAAATATATTAAATAATGTTTCCTTTATTTTATTAAAATCTTTCCAGCCTTTTTTGTAAAAATTTCTTTTTTTTTAGAGTATAAACCAACAAGTAAGTAGTTACAGTTTTTCTGTGAGAAACATTTTTGTATACTGTACATAACATATGTTGTTAATTATTTGTATCAGGCTATTACAAAATAAGGTTCTTGAAAGTCCCATAACAGTAGAGACTGTAAAAGTGACAGCCATTTAATATCTTGGTAAGAAAGAGTGAAAGATTAATGTATAATATTTATGCATTGGGAAAAATTTATATCAAATCCATGAGCTCTTCTCGTAACTTATTGATGTTGTTAAGGCAACCTATATTTAATTCAATGTGATAATATATAGCTCAGTATTCTTACAAAAACGTGTCGGAAATAATGTAAGTATTTCAGTATCCTTAAGAATTCATTTAAGAAGAAAACGGGATCCTTACAATTTTGTCTACAATGACGTGGGAAATAATGCAAATTTAGGAAATATATCGGTGACACATACCTAGAACAAAAAATCACATTGGAGATTGAAACTTCCTTTTTTTCCTATCAAATTTATCTTACGACTTGTTCCTTAATGAATAAAAACTGTAAAAGAGTTTTTCCACTTAAACGTTATTCTTTTGAATTTGTAATTGGTGTTATTGTTGGAAATTAGTACGACGTATTAACATAGTATACAAGTCATGTGATTGACTAACCATCAATATGCATCTAAGATATTTGCATTACATATTTTATTATTTGTGACTTTCTTGTATCGAAGCAGCTACACCAAAAGTTTATCGATTAATTTCGATGAAACATTCAAGTATATAAATCGCTTGCTCGACGTCTTATCGCGATGATAATGTTCTTTGTTATAAATGCTTTCATTCTAGAAAAAAAACCTTATCTTTCTAGAAATACTACTGTTTTAATTAAAGAGCTACAACTGTATGGCAGTTGATCAATTCAAAAAAAATGATGACGGAATTGCTAGCCACCAAAATGTTATAACTATACTATGAAATATATGTAGAATTTTTGTTTTTCATCACTTATTGTGCTACTCTGACAGAAGCCTGTATTATTGAAAAATAATTAATAAGGATGCTTTAATGTCGCCAAACTGGTGGAGGAAGTATCATAAAATGTACAACCGTATTGATTTATTTCCATACGTCTTGATATTTACTTTGATGCACGTAAAATTAGTACAAGTTACCGCTTCCTTGTACAGCATAGCTCAAGCTTGTTTTTTTTTTTTTCAATTTATTAAGCCGTTAAGACGGAAGTCTAATAGGCCAAAAAATACAAGATTTATACAATATACAAAATTATTAATTTAATTCACACATCTTAAACGTAAGAATCATACACGATTTTGCTATACAAGAAAACACATTAGTTGAGTGAGTAGCACTTGGCTCAATATTGGCATAACAAGTATTAAAAAAGGAAGACACGCACAGACAGGCATCTCTTTTAGGTTCCGTTACATTGCTTTCGATGTTCAGTTGTGGATAGAGTTTTGTTATTCTG